TTTGAAGAGCCAAACCGGTGAGTTCGATGACTTGTCGGAACTCTTCGTCTGCTGTCGATTCGAGCAGATTGCAGTACCCGCTGACGATGCGCTCTGCTTCCGCAAAACGTTCCTGGAAAGCCCTCGCTTGTTCGGCGAGAAAGTTGGTCATGTTGACGACCGTGGGGTTTGGGCTCGGGTTTGTAGAGTGCTGTTGACTCGCGCAGCAGACTGAGTCTGGTGTGGTGTTGTGTGGTGTGGGCGGTAGTGTGTATTGTGGATCGTTGAGATCCATTTCGACGTCCTGGCGCGTCGCGTGTTGGGTGGGGAGAGGTGGCCAGGAGCCAGCCTCTGCAGAGGACTGGGGCGGCATAGGTGATTGAGAAATAGAATTGGCAGTAAGATGTCGTAAATGGAATGCAATATGGTCACTTTGGATTGCGAAAAATTGTGTGTGTGTAGGTCGATGGAGTTGAGGGAACGGTAATGGTAGTGGGGTATCTAATCAATTCTCTCACGAATATTCAGGACTTTTAGCGCCGGTCATGTGTCATAGCTAGATAGCTGCAAACACATTAAATGATTTAAAAAAAATGCCCATGCAGGAATCTACAAACTCTAATATTTATATAGGAGGAAACCTTTATGGTAAAAACCTTCAACTTTTGAATTCGTATAGCCGGCAAAGACGAATTCTTCACCTTCCAGTGGTGCCGGTTTAATCGCTCAGTATGCTCTGAATATCTGGGATAGCCAAGAAGAATCGCATCCTTCGCAACGGCAGCTTGCTGAGCGTGGCCCAGTCGATTTCGATTGACACATGGGCTAGGTTCCGTTCCCGGCACGATAGATCAAAAGTTCAAGTTTGGGTCTCTTCCACTCAGTCTTCTAAGAACCTCCCGATTGAGTTTGACTGGGAGGACTTTACGACTCACCAACAACCTTCCAAAATCAAAGGTAATATTCCTTTCGCTTTCAACCTTACCAACATTGTGTGCAGGACTGGGCAATTGCTGGGCCTCATTTTAGACAAGCACCTCGACCGCGACATCAACATTCTCGACTTTTCGACACATTCCAAGGACGGCGCGAACGAAGAAGCCTCACTCAGACAACGAACAATGTACGACAAAAGCTGGGGCACCGATGCCTCGGTTTTGAGCTCTCGATTTCGGAATTTCAGCCCTCTCAAATGGGGGTTGAGCGGAATGCAGTGGAGAATTTGGGAAGGACGATATGTGATTTTCAACAGGCTGTTGGCACAGTTGGTCGGGTGCTTGATGTGCTTTCTAGAAGTGGTAGGTTGGATTCTTACACGGCCTGTTTAAGGGGGGACTACGGCTGCTCGTCGTGAAAGAGTACAGGAGGAATTATTGAGGTTTTCCCACGAAGGCTTTCCCTCAATACATGGTCTTAGAATCATAGGGAATGCGTTCCTACCTATTAGACCCGATGTAACTAGCGTGAGGCACGTTTTTGGAAAAGTCAGGCACCGGATGGGCTTTGCTGGAGAATGGAGGAGCTTGTATTCTAGATGTCCTCCATGCGTGTCATGTCCATTGGATGGAGGATGTAAGCCTGGCACGATAAACAAAATCATCATCATCATTTTGAATTCGTATTTATTTATTTATTTATCTTTATTTAACGTCCGGCGGATCACGCGTCAAGCGAGTAACCCTATTAAGTCCCTACTGAGACAAAAGACGCATTTTGAATTCGTATTTTTTATTTATCTTTATTTAACGTCTGGCGGATCACGCGTCAAGCGAGTAACCCTATTAAGTCCCTACTGAGACAAAAGACGCTTTGAATTCGTATAAACTTTAATTGTAACGGCTAGTGAGCCGATAATTGTACTGTATCACGTGATGTTAATCACGTGCCTCAACAATTCTGTGAAAGGCGAAACTTCACTCTAGTTTATTCTGAACATGACTAGAGGATTCTAGCAACTGGCATCGAGACTGCGAACTGGTATCAGGGAAATATAACAGAGGCTAGTATCAGACAGGAAGGAATATTCTAGATAGCCTAATAAGTGTATAAATAGTTGAGTTAGGACACACATGTTGTGGGATAGAAAATAATAAACAACCTTCGTAAATTTGATCGCCCCAGCATCTATACCTCGAACTGTGACATTAATGTTGTATTACCCTCACTAAGTGCACCAACACTTACATGTCCATCGGGGATACCGTCCATTTCATTACTACTGGCAGGAGATCATATTTCCCCTACTGCCCTCTCTCTCCCTCATCGTGGCCTCGACTTCAAGCGTCAGTCGAAACTGCTCTAGCCATCCTTCCTGCTGGATTCAACTAGTTATTTTTTTTTGTGTTTTATTCTACTACTTGAGTCTATGACTATCTAGCACATTGGGCTCCTCTCTGACCCAGGCCACACCTTGTACAGTGCTCCTTGCGTCTCATGTTACTTATAAGATCATTGATTTATTACCCGTGACGAATAGCCATTCAACTCAGTATTAACCTGTGGAATTAGGCTACCTTTTCCACGGAACCTTCTATTGAAAGGATATGCTGAGCTGGAATGACGTACCGTTAGGATGAAGGTATGGAAGGAGGTAGCTATGGCTTTAAGAGAAGTAAAGTTCGTGAGTTATACTCTTAGGACATGGATCAATGGACGAGCTTGAGGATATTCCCTAGTATTCTCAAGTGTGTAAATAATATGGAGATAGTTTGAATTTCCTGTTGTATGAATCGCTTAATTTTTCTACGTTACAGGACCTTCTTCGATATACATGAATAAGGGGGTTCTGCACACTAGTGGATGTTCCAACATCTGTCCTTGTCTAACCGAGAAAGGAAGGATGTGAGAGATCCTAGCGCCAATAGATACCATTAGGAATCTATTGGGAAATACTAAGTCATACCAATGGGTGATGATTTAGGTCAATCATATCCCATGGCGCATGTGCACATTATTCTAATGTGAACAGTTTATTGTAATGCAGTCATGTTACTCCTTTAATTACAACACCTTCTACCCAAAAAAATATTAAAAAATATTAACAAATGGTAGCAATGGGAACTGCGTGCCCGGGAAAAAGTCTTCAAAAAACCTGCAGCCCCAGCCAGCCGAGGCCTAGACACCGAGACCACATGAGGTGCGCATATTCATCTATATCTCCCTTCTTTGTAACAGTCGAGGTCGACTTGATCCAATCCACCATCTCCGTATCGGGTGCTGGGTACGCTCCGGAAACTCATCGGATGGCTTTTCCTCCATGATCAAGGGTGGGTGACGAGTAGGGCTCCGACCCTACCATCTGATCTGATCGTGGTTAGCTTCATGATATTGGTGAAAGGGGTATCTGTTGAGAGATGAAGACGATACAGACGGCGAAAGCGATTGGGAATCCTCGTCAAAGTGAGGACTTTGTTACTCACTCTCGGCTCTGCAGACTCTACAGTGAGAGCTGGAGGTTCGTAGGGGATATCACTGACAAGAGTTGAGAATGGTCCCCCAATACGAATTGTAGCCCTTCTCAGAAAAAATGATTATGGTCTGATTCTTTTTATTAAGAAATTAAAAGGTTTAATACATAACAGATTAGAAATATTAAGTTAATAAAAAATTTCATAGCAATATTGATGATCCCACACATAGTTGTAACTTTAACTTGATTGTGATTTCATTTTATTGATACCAATTTTTTTTATTTGAACACGGTAATCTCTGTTTTAGGAAGTTTGAATTGTCTTCGTCATAAGCTTCATAAAACCAGATTCGGAAATCAGGCTTACGAGTGTGATGCGGTCACTTAATTTGATATCAACATTAGGGTTTGGATGGAGATTTTAGTCAAGCAGATAACTTAAATAGAGCTGAAAATTAGGCTTTCAAGCAAATTTATTTACCAATAGACCTGGCCTGCAACTTGATGTATGAAATTCTATTAGGTAGTTCCACCTGATCTCGCGCATGTTCATGAATCTGACGTCTTAGCCGGTCGAACTGATCAATTAACTGGTTGGCTTGGTTAAATTAAGTAAAGTTGAAAGCAAATTGTTGTGGGTAGAATAAGACAAAGCTTTCAGATCTATTAAGACGCAATATGGATAAGAAATCTGAAAAGGTTTTAATTCTCAACTCATTTTCCAGGGAATATTACAATGTTATGAAAAAATTATGGCGCTCTAAAACCTAAAATACTATGAATATTTTGAAGGTGCTTTACATTTTACAATGCAGTAAGTCTCTGGTACATTATTTTTCTTCGATATTTACCTTAAGATGTATACCATAGTTGTTTAGGCCCATGGAAACCTGTGTACTGTTGTGTGCCAAAATCTAATGGTCCAATTACAAGTCCTTGAAATTTATCGAATTTGAATTCCCATGGTCGTCACGGTTGAGGCAGTTGAGGTTCCGATGTGCCAGTGGCCACACAAAGCTGTAGCTGATCAACGGCTCCACTAAAATAATCGCTTAATAATTTGGGATTTGGAAGTCGGTGCACACAAACGAGCGATTCATCTATCGCCCGGGCAGTACTAGACAGTGTCAGCATACCGTGATCTACAAATCCTGTGAGCCTCAACTGAAGCATTGAACATTTCTTATTAATCCTTTTGACAACATTTGACCAAAATAACAGCTGATTTTCCCAGCGCAGTCCTCTTCTCTACCCGTCTCTTCAAACCCAATTCACAGCATTCCCTCGACCAGATTTAGATAACCGCAGTCATGGATATGGAAAAGCTGAAGAAGATGCAACAGTCTGTAAGAATTGGTACGTTGGATCTTTCCTTGAGATATAGATCGTCTTCAACGCTCACAATCCTTCATATTGGGAATTTAAGTCTTTACCTGTGGTAGCAAAAGCTAACTTTCTCAGGGTGAGTCAGTTAATTAAAGTTGATGGCAAAGGTTTTGCAACACATACTGTCGCTAAAATCGTAATCAATCAAATGAGAAGCTGATTCGTACTTTGTAGCGGAAAGGGCACACCAAGAAGAAAGGTCAAAAAAGTTCACAAGAGCGCGGGTATGGATGATAAAAAACTTCAAACAGCTCTCAAAAAATTAAACGTCCAACCAATTCAAGCGATTGAAGAAGTTAACATGTTCAAAGCTGACGGAAATGTGATACACTTTGCTGCGCCAAAAGGTAGCAATAACTCATTCACATCCTCGTTTTCTCGTTTAAATTTAATAGAAAACTGGCACTAACTTAGCCAATCTCTAGTTCATGCGGCAGTTCCGTCTAATACTTTTGCTATTTACGGCAATGGCGAAGACAAAGAATTGACGGAGCTTGTTCCTGGAATTCTAAATCAGCTTGGCCCAGATTCACTAGCGTCACTCCGCAAGCTTGCTGAGAGTTACCAATCCCTTCAAAAGCAGGAGGGAAAAAAGGATGATGACGATGATGATGATATTCCAGATCTGGTCGCAGGAGAAAATTTCGAAGATAAAGCTGACTAATTAACCAGTTTCAGAATTTCGGCTAGTGGATGGTCAAGTTCAGTTTTATACCCTTACAATACTGTGGACTGTGAAGCTTGGTTCTGGGCAGGAAAGTCAGTACTCAGGTAAATAAATGAGGCTTCAGGATTGCCAAGGACGGCAAGTCTTGGTAGTCACGAGATTACTTGCTTGTACTAAAAACTATTACTGTGGATTTCAGAGCTACACTGGGGAAAAGTCGCTCTTCTCCCCGTCGGATTGACGCTGAAATTGTCGATTTCAGTCGAAAAAATTTCGCTTATTTCTCTAAAATGTAAATCTTTTGAGTGCCATAACGTCATGCCTCAATTTTACTAAGGTCAGACCCGAAACTCTCTATGATCCTTTGATTTTCAGCTACAAAAGCATAATGAAGAGCTCCAAAAGTGATTCTTCCTACAAAATATCACAACCTGTAGACAACCCATACATGGAGGTACACAAAAAAAGAATAACTTTCTTTGTGGTACAATAATCGTTCTATCTTCAATGGTTTGGGTTGTGGACGCTCCTTTTCTCCTTTGGTTTGTGAAGTATATGAAGTATATGAAGTTGTGGATCTTCACAACGCGTAATATCTAATTAAACTAATAACATAATGGAAAAGTGACCCCGCTCGTAAAGTGTAGTTATGCCAAGGCGAGGATCACTGGTAGTATTTTCCTCATCCTATCGAGTCTCCTATTATTGTTCATCTCGTCCTCAATGCATGGGGCTTGAGTCAAATACTTACAACGTATCAGCCCGAAATAAGAGCTTGCATTGTGTATTAGATCTTGGGTTTCTCTCGAAGGTTTCTCCACAAAACGCACCTATCTTATAGACGATACAAACTAATAACGTATACCTGATGATTTAACATGAAATCATCAGATCAATCACTCAATATCCCCCGTTGTCCAGGGCGATATCTCAGACGCCTATAGAATAGGACCCTTATGCTACTAGCATCAGGAAGCCCTGGACAGCCCAGTCGACCAAAAACAGGTATCGCTACTGTTAGGGTGAAGTGATACATGAATGAAAATGCAAAGGAGATTAGGGTCTATCTTAGAAGCCTACCCGCAGGAGCACTGTTTGTTTACCCCGGCACACCTATAACCGCTCCTACATTCTCAGCCTATGGCCACGCCATCTACCGAAATAAATATCTTAAAGCAAGCGTTGGAAAATTCCTACCTAGAGCAAAGGTCTATAATGTAGAAATCACCGAGGCTGTTCGAGAACTAGAAGTAGCGTTGGAAGTTAGAGGTGGTATCAACGTAAAGCTGCTACTAAACAATCTTGAGGCAGTCAAAGGCCTTGCAAGCGGGATAACAAACTCTTCACCGGTAGATTTGTGGAATTTCATAGGATTACAAGACTCGATTCGTAATAGAGGTTTGCTGGATACCGGGACATAGTGGCATGCTAGGAAACCAAATTACACATGCGATGGCAAAATCAGCTATTGCATCTAATGAAGGGAAATACATCTTCACCGGAATGTACTTGAGAGGAAAGCCATAACATCCTGAATTTGTAGTACTTAACCGGCAAGTTATGTTACGCATTTATGAATTCGCGAAAGAACAATGGCAATAAATATAATAGATAGACATAAATAACTGGATCTATTGATGCTAACAAAACGCTCTTCAGAGCTAGTTCTACCTCCATTGGCACATCTCTGCCTCATTGTAAAAAATGGGTATGGTGCCATCACTTTTTGTTACAGACAATTTTATCACTATATTCAAGAAATGCTTTGCAAATACTGGCGGGAAAAAAAGACTTGGTATTTCGCAAAATTTCACCAGGTTATCTAGAGATAGCGGTCAGAAACGAAAGAATTTAAACCTGTGACGAGAGATATGGTAGGGCAAGGGAAGTTGATATCCTGGCGTTTGTTATTGCAGCAAAGTTTTAGAGTAAGAATGATTTATAAACAGGGGTTTTAGCGTTAAACTGTATTTCTTGTAAGAAATGTAGGCACAATATTTTGGACGTACAGGCCCTTCAATTCGTCTAGGCCCCGCCACGATCTCGTGTGTAGCTAAGTGGTTGGAATGAGTGATATTGTAGCGCTTCTGACTCCCTATTAAAAATATGAGCTGCTGTTTGTTTATTAATTTAGGTCCTAGGCTATACCCGTTATCCCCTAAGGGTCAAAGACCTATGAGCTGCTGTGTGGCGCAGGCACGAGGAGTTTAATGGGGGTTTAGTATGCCTAGATTGCTGTGAAAGGATAGCATTTGAATGAATAGCTTTCCACACGAATCTATCCAAAATGAACATAAATTGTGTCTTAAGAGGGATAAGTTGACGTTGTGGCATCACTCCCAAGATATTATCTCGCTTGTCGCTGACGTAGTCAACTCAAAAGAGCCGGATTAACTCCGGATCCCATCTAAAGGCAATAGCTCGTGAAGTGATTTCTATTCTCTCTTTGATGTGAATATTATGTGAATAATTGTTACACTGCCAGCAGTGCTCTCTTTGTGATTTTTCTACGCCCTATCATTACTCTAGAATCTATACCAACATTATCTTTCGTTCCATAACGCGCTTCAAAAACATCTAACGCTTCAGTTTCTTACAAACTAACCCTGTGTCCCCACGTAGGCTCGGCAAATCCTTTCCACTTAACTAGGACCAAGCGTCGATACCCTTTTCCAATTTTCTTATTTTCATCTCGTAACATATTCTCGACAAATTGCTGGGACTTTCCATCTTCATAATCTAATTCTCCGTCTTGTATTTGCGATTGTACTGGTGGAGCTTAAGCATCGTCAGTGATTTGGGACGGTAGTGGGTTAGTTGCTGCCCGCTTTAGTAAATCAACGTGAAAGCGTGGCCATATACCTCGTGGCGTATTTTATTCGAATAGATTCGAGTCTATAACATTTGTTACTTGGTATTTCGCATTTATCCATTAAAGATTTTTCGATAGTTGTGGGGTCTGAGTATTCCACAAGTTTATCCACATCCCTGTCATATCAAGAATGACAGTATCGACTTCTGAAATTACTTGAAGTTTCATTGTGCGGTAATCTGTTGTTCGCAATTCGTGTATTTACAAATTCATTTCCTCGACTTCCGTGCCTTAGATTTTCATCGGAAGACACGAAATCCCTCCTGTCATATAGTGCCTCTGCGATATTTAAGGGATTAGCCCTGTAGGCGCAGTTGGGCTAGCTCGTAATAGGTTAGTATGTCTCTCCTCCTTAACCCGCTCGCCATGAAGTATGGTCCAATCGTCTTCTTCTAACATTCGGTTAGAAAAACTCATTTTCAACGACACTTTTGGCTGACTAACCTACACAGTCCTTGGATCATCCTCCACAAAACAGTTGTCTGCCCCCCACACACACACAAGTGATACTATCGCATTCTACCTACGACATTTTACTGACAAATTCATCTCTCAATCACCCATGCCGCCCCAGTCCTCCACAGAGGCTGGCCCCTGGCCCCCCCTCCCCACTCAATGTTCGACGCGTCAAGACGTCGAAATAGTCCTTAACGGGCCACAACCGCCATCACAACCACCCACCCAACAATTTGTAGAGCCAATCTACGAAGCGAGTCATCGAAGCTCGCCCCACCAACAAACTCCGTCGCCTCAAATTGTCGCGACCGAATTCCTCGCCGAACGGTGCAGGACATTCCAGACGCGCTCTGCACAAGCAGAGCGTTTCATCATCCGGTTCTGCAAGCTGTTGGAACCGGTCACTGACGAGAGACTTCGAAAACTCTTTGATCAGGACTTACTGGCCCTTCAGAGCAAGATACTGGAAATTCTATGGGGCAACCCATCTCAAGCAGACGCCAACGCTCCCCCAAAGGCTGCAAGTGGCCATACTAACACATCTAACCCGGCTCAAGTTATAGAGCCTCCAAAACAAAGTCCTGCAAGCGTCACACGTCCAGTGCTGATCCTTGCCAGGGAAAAGAATAGACCGGCACCACAAAGGCCGGTAGCCACAACCGCAACTCTCCAGCCCAACCAGGGCTCAAACAAAACCAACAACAACGCTATAGAGAAATCTTGGACCGAGGTGTTGGGAAAAAGAAACAAGCCAGCAAACCAAGTGGCTCCAACTTCAACACTCAAGACAGTGCCAGTGAGGCCCGTCTCCGCGCCGAAGCCTAAAGCTCCAGCAACAAACCCCCAGCGACCTGACGAGCGCGTATTCTTGCGCCTCAAACCTGACCACCCGTGGAGACGCATGTCTCCACATGTCATAAAAATAAGCCTGGCTAGTAAACTACGCCTGGCCAACTCATCGATCAGACAAGTCACAGTCGTGAATTCTGGATTTGCCATACAAGCTGACGGGGAAGGAGCAAGAAGCGCGCTACTGACAGGAGCGAATACCCTAGACAGCTCTGAAATGAAATTGGAAGCCGCGTCCAATTGGATATCAGTCCTGGCACCGAATATCCCTGACAAGCTTTACACTCTGGAAGGGCCCACCATAATGACACCAGAGATGGTAATAGAAGAAGCAGCTCTCAAAACAGGAGTTAGACCAACCTCAGCTCGTGCTTTCGCGACTAGCATGGCCAGGCCGTCAACGGACTGGGTGTTGCACTTCGCAACAGGAAAACCGAAACTTGGAGAAAGACTTTTTGAAGAAAGCGGGCGCCTTCACGAACTCCAGCGCAAGCTCAAAATTGCGCAATGCAACCGATGCTGGGGACACCACCCAACTAAAATTTGTTAGGAGCAGAGCGCTGCACCCGCTGTGGCTCAATTGAGCACAAAGCTACTGAGTGCAAACAGGCCGTTCCAAGGTGCATCAATTGCCACGGGCCACATGCTGCAACTGAGCCTAACTGTATGGCTAGGCCGACACGGGCTGGTGGGAAGACGGTGCAACGCACAAGGGACCAGCTGTCGGTGATCCGCGAGCAGGGTCAAAAAGAAAGGAATGCTTCGATCAGAGAGATGGAAGCAAAGCAGAAAGCCACCGAGGCTACTGCTGAAAACGAAA